GCTCGGATGTCGGAAAAGGCGCCAGGGTTGCCTGCGGATTGGCCGCGGTGGGCCGCACCTTGGGCGGCGTTGAGGCAGCGCCTTGGGCAGACCGAGTGAAGGTGATCCACTGTGGCGCAGTGTATCCGATGCCTGTTCAGCGAGGCGGAGGAGGAGCACGAGGATGAGGAGGATGGGGAAGAGGGAGCAGGAGAAGGAGGAGGAGGAGGAGGAGGAGGGGGAAGGAGGAATAGGAGGAGCAGGAGGAGGAGGAGGGAGAGGGGGAAGGGGAGGAGAAGGAGGACCAGGGTCAATTCAAGACGGGGAGCGTATGCAAGTGTGGGATCAGTGGATTGAGTTTACTGAACTGGAGCTTTGCAGAGTTTTTGATATCCATGGGGCTGAGCAGGATATGTATGCTGGACGTTCTTCAGGTTTCAGGAGAAAGCAGGTTTCCCTGGACACGATAGTCAAAAAGAAATGGTTTGCTAACACCACTGCCCAGCTCAGATATTGGCGCACACTAGTGTCGTTACTGGTCAAAGCGACGGCCTGCCTGGACGACCTGTCCAACTCCGCGTATTGGCAGACGCTGCGCTTTTCCATCCTGAAGCTGGACCAGAAGTCTCTTGGTCCTAAGTTTTTGTGCCTTGCCCCTAGGCTGCCCCAGTTGATTGGGATCATCGAAGAATCTGGAGGGTCCGATCTGGGGCTCCTCATGCCCACTGCGCAATCCACGTATGAACACATGTTCAGGGATCACTGTAGCAGGAGGTGGGCTAGGTGGAGATCTTGGGCTCAGGAGGCAGTAACTAAGGGCGGCAAGGCGGCACATGTTTTTTCTAAGGAGCGTCCACCTGCAGTTGGCCCGCTATCTCCACATGGCTGGGCGCTGCAAGGGGACCAAGCCGTTGAGGACTTGAGGAAAGAGTGGAGCCAGTATTGGTGCTGCCATCAGTGCCCGCTCACTGCGCAGCACCACCGTCGTGCAGACGAAGCCCCCCCTCTTCCTCGGCCAGAAGTTGAAATTCTGAACTGGGCTCTCAGTAAGTTCAAACACGACACGGGTTTAGGAGTGGACTGTATGAACCCTAGGTGTTGGTTACTGTTGCCCAGGGACTTCTTGGAGCGTTTGATCGACCTGATGATGTTATGGGAGAAAAAGCCTTCTCTCCCAAGGAAGTATGCTACCCAAATCATCTTCCAGGGCAAACCCGATGGTGCTGGATTGCGCCCGTTGGCCTTGATTGTCAGCGTGTTAAGGGCTTGTGCCAAAGTTCGGCAGGTGGTGGCTCGGTCTTGGGAGTTGGATCATTCGGCGGATTTCTTCTGGGGAGCTCGAGACAAAGAATGCGATCGAGCTGGTTGGCAGCATGCTATGCTCAATGAATTTGATCGCATCCAGAATTTTGAAGCTGGCACGTGGTTTGGTGATTTAGATAAGTTCTATGAGAGGGTTGGGCCTGCGATATTGTTCGAAGAAGCAGAGGCCACGGGCACGCATTTAGGGCTCACCCGTGCAGCAATCGTCTTGTACACTGGTGCGAGAGCCCTGAATTTCCAGGGAGCAGTGTCCAACCTGATCGAGGCGACGGGCACTATTTTAGCAGGATGCAGCTTGGCCGCCACTTTCGCCAATGTTGTTTTGTACAGGCTGCTTGTGTCGGTCACCGCCGCCTTCCCAGCACTGACGATACGTAATGTGATTGATGATGTTTCGATTCAGGCCCTCGGGACCACCGATTTCGTCTGTGAGCAACTGGGGAAGGCAACCATCGTGATGAAGGACGGTTTTGAGAAGTTGAAGTTGATTATCTCGGGGAACAAAACCATTTACATCGCTTCCTCTAAGCAGCTCTCTGTGGCCTTGGCACTCAGGTGGGCCAGTTTCGGTTTCAAGCATCAGCAGTATGTGCGGTCTCTTGGATGTGACGCAGTTGCGCAGAGGATTCGGCGCAACCCGACGGCCAGGAAAAGACTAGCAAAGGCAGGACGAAGATCCACTAGGATCTTGAGACTTAAGAACGCTGGGGCTCAGGTTGGGAACATACAGAGGTCGGGTCCCCAGGCTTGTGGGCTATGGGGCTCGGCTGTTGCGGGCTTGACGCCCAGACAGGTTCATAATATGCGGTTGGCTGCTTCTAGGAGCTTATGCAAAGATAAAGCTGGAGCTCTCATGTCGTTCAGATTGCGTTCGTCTCCTGCTGGGGCATCTATGGGCCCATATGTGATATACCATGGTAATGTTATATATCAATGGTGTCGAGCTATTTGGGATGGCTCTCCTGGGCTCCATATTATCCAGAAGGTGTTTGAAAAGGCTTCAGATGACCTTTGGAGATCCCGAAGGCCCTGGCACGTATGTACTTCGCCTGCGCACGTATACTTACTGACTACGGCTGAGCTGGGTTGGAGACCTCTCTCAGCAAGAAAGATACGACTCTGCGACGGGGATATGATCGACCTGCTGGAGCTTGCACCACTGGCAATCAGAATGCTTGCGGAGCGTGATGCAGGACACTGGGCTGACAAAAGGGCCCTCATGAAAAGACCTAAGAGTAGCAAGGTCTGGTGTAGGCCTGTGTATTGGGAAGGGGCCAGGAGTTTGCTGTCGGGTAAAACCTCGAAATCCTGGACCAGGCACCACCAGGCTTGCGCTAGAAACACTTTTTTTCCTTGGGAACCTGGACGCAGGGCCGTCTGAAGGATCGCGGGCTTGCCGAGGAGGATCTCTGCCAGCTTTGCCGTGCCGAGCGAGGAACTCTGTACCACAGGCGCTTCAGGTGCGCGGCTTTCCTGGGGGGCAGAAGCATGTACCTCTCGGCGCAGTGCATGCAGGCTGCCCGCAATGCTCGCGACATGAATCAGGATTTGGAAAAGTTTGCTGCTGGTGTGCTACCGTTTCCCAAAGAACTGATCCCGCAGCCCCTAGGTAGAGATAAATGTTCTATTGGCTGGTTTAACATGCCTGCTTCAGGTAAGCTCCAGGGCTTGATTTTTTCTGACGGGTCCGCGGTCCACCCCACCTGTGATCTCAGGAGGCGTGCGGGGTGGAGCCTTGCACAGGTTACCCCACAAGGGGAGCTTTTGTGCGCTGCCTTCGGACCCGTGCCCAGGGAGGTGGCGCCTAGCCAGCAGGCCAGGGATGGTGAGGACTATGCCTACAGGATGGCGGCTGAGCTGGTCGACCTTTTTTTCCCGATTTTGAGATTTGTACGGACTGTTCGGGTACTCTTGGGTGTGTGTGGGATAGGGCCAAGAGTTGCTCGTCCCAGAATTCCAGGGCACACATCTGGAGTTTCGTTTGGCACGTTTTTGAGGACGGGCTGAAGGCCAGGAAAGTCAACGGACACGCCACTATGGCTGATGTTCTTAATGGGCTGTGCACTGAATTTGATAGGCCCGGTAATAAGCATGCGGATCGCTTTGCCAGGCTCGGAGCAGGCATGCACCCCATGCCCGATTTGATGGTTCAGGCCGTCGATTCCTGTCGGGCGGTCCAAGAAGAGATCGTCCGATGGGGAGCCATCCAGGATGTGATAATGGCCGATAGAGGTTGGGCTGACGCGGCTGGTTTCCCGGGGCCCTCCGTGGTTGAGGAATCGGAGCGCGATTTCCACACCCAGCATAAGAAGGGCCAAGTTAGGTGCCAGGCCAGAGCACTGCGGCAGCTCTCTGAGGCTTGGTGGCCTCGAGTTGACTTTCGTGTGCCGATCCTCTCGGACACAGGGGCCGAGAACCCTGGTGGCCCTGAGCAGCTGTCAGAGTTTTCCTTGCTATCCCGCCTCCAGGGGCACAGCCTTTGCAAGGCAAAGGTTTTCGTGGGGGACGGGAGTCGGGCGGCTGGGAGTGGGTGGGTGATGTCGTGCATTCGCTGTGGAGGCTATGCGTGGGCTGGAGTGGCCTCGCTAGCAAACAAATGCCCTTGCCACCCCCCCACGAAGGACCTCAGGCGCCAGAGGACGAGGTTCGCCAAGGGTGATTTTCCCAGCTGGGCTCGGCAGTACAAAGGTTGGTCGGTCACAGGGCACCGAACGCCTACCCCCCTAGATCTTGTTTCCCTTGTCCGTGCGTCTCACAAAGGGGTCCAGCTCTTAGGGGGGGCCGAGCCAGAGGCGAATGATTTTGTTGATAGCCTGTGGGAGGAGAAGTGGACCCCAAGTCAGCTCCTCTCAAGATTTGGCTTAGTTTGTCCAGCCGAGGCTGATCAAGGTATCGGGTCCTGAGCTGCGTTTGTTGCTAGGGGCTGGTGGCACTGACACCTGCCTCCACAGAGAACAGAACAGAATTCAAGACGCACCAACGATGTTTCAGTACACCCTCCCTCTAAGATCGCTCTTCGTACGTCCCTACAAGAAATCGCTTTCATCGCGCAAAGTGCCCCATCGAAAGACACCCGTCTGAGAGTCCAAACTGTTGCTCCAACGCCGCGATCAGCGCCAAGGTGAGAGATACGTGTTGCAAGGGAACGCCCGCTATCACTGCAGCGGTTGTACACTTTTAAGACGAATGTGCGCTGCACTGATGCGAGAACATTTTGAAAACGACCCGCCCCCGATGACTGAAGCTGTACCAATATTGAAGCTTCAGGATCATACATGGTGAGGACGTCTCAGGCGAAACGCCTGGACCTCTCTGCCGACACGTCTGTGGGTGCGACAGGAAGAAATTATTTTTCAGGGGAAGGGATGGAGGAGGAGGAGGAGGAGGAGGAGGAGGAGGAGGAGGAGGAGGAGGAGGAGGAGGAGGAGGAGGAGGAGGAGGAGGAGGAGGGGGAGGGGGAGGGGGAGGAGGATTTAAGGGAGGGAGGGAATGGGGGATTATATCGCCAGTTTCCCAAAGCTGCTGGGCGCTTCGAGGCGCCTCTTTGGAAGGTTTTCGGAGGTGCCCGCAGATGATCTGAGGCGTTCGGTGGTTTCTGAAGGGTGATCTGCGTCGTGCCCGTCTCTGTCCTGCCCCTGCGGCGTGCCAGTCGCCGTCCCGCCTCGGCCCCCGTCTCTGTCCCGCCTTTTGCGCAGTAGGACGGCGGCTACGTGCCCCCGGAGGCCCCGAAAGTGGACCTGGAGGCGTGCCGCCTTCCTGGGGGGGGGCCTCCAGGGAGGGGGGGGAGGGAGAGGAGGAGGATGGGCGCTAGAAGTGTGGAGTCCCAGCCGAGGAGGAAGGAGGAGGATGGGCGCTGGAAGGGGTGATGATGATGATGATGATGATGATGATGATGATGATGATGATGATGATGATGATGATGATGATGATGATGATGATGATGATGATGATGATGATGATGATGATGATGATGATGATGATGATGATGATGATGATGATGATGATGATGATGATGATGATGATGATGATGATGATGATGATGATGATGATGCTGATGATGATGATGATGATGATGATGATGATGATGATGATGATGATGGATGATGATGAGGAGAGAGGAGGAGGAGGAGGAGGAGGAGGAGGAGGAGAGGAGGAGAGGAGGAGGGGAGGAGGAGGGGAGGGGAGGGGGAGGAGGAGGAGGAGGGAGGAGGAGGAGGAGGAGGAGGAGGAGGAGGAGGAGGAGAGGAGGAGGAGGAGGATCGGGAGTCCCCAACGGGGTGGTGACCACACCGTGCGGTGAGTCGGTGGGGATTCGGGGTCACCGCTCGGTTTTGGGACTCGGGTCGTTCTCCGAGGATGTCTCGGGCGACAGGGGCCTCGGGGGTCCCAAGACCGTGCGGTGACGGACCGTGCGGTGAGGTCCCTTGGGGTTCCGAGGTCACCGCACGGTCTGTCACCTTACCATTTCGCGACTCCAAAGAGGAGGAGGAGGAGGAGGAGGAGGAGGAGGAGGAGGAGGAGGAGGAGGAGGAGGAGGAGGAGGAGGAGGATGGTCGCTGGAAGGGAGGAGGAGGATGGGCCCATGCACATGAAAAACTCAGTCACGCGTGGAAGCCACCGAGCGCCAACCATGGCGCATAAGCCACCGAGCACCACCCCACCCATAGGGCAGTGTGGCAAGCACACGAAATTCGCGACCGTCAACATACCAGAGAAGGACACCAAGGCAGTGGGGAGAAATCGCGGTTTCAAAGACATCATAGGGCACCTGCCATAGAGCGCGACGGGCAAGGAACCAGTGAAAGAACGATCGTTCGTAACCTTCATTCCCACTTCTTTCCCTTTCCAAGCAGGCACCCCCTCAGCGCATACGCTGCCGCGGGGAAAGCAATGTCGGCGAAGGTGTTCAGGGCAGGCAAGCCCAGGAACTGCATGCATCGCTTCCGAGCTTCCTGGAACGCTCTGGGACGGCCGCAGCGCCCGATGCATCCTCCAGAACCCCCGGATCTCAAAGGTCCCCGATCTGTCCCGATCTGATGTTGTCCCGTTCCTGGCTTCGTCTTATGTTCGGGGCAGGACGAGGGCGAGGTCGAGGCGGACTCGGTCGGCCGCGTGCGCTCGCAGCGGGCGCGGGCCCGCATGGGGCCGTCGCGGTCCCCCGTGGGGCGCGGTCCGTGCGACTGGTGCGCCGACGTGGTCGAGCCGGGCGAGGCGGGTGTGCGGTCGCGGGGCTTCCGCAGCTGCACCTCCCCGCCAGGCCACGATCCGCACTAGGGGGGTGCGCCGAGATGGGAGCGGGTGGGCTCCACCTCCTCCCTGGCCTCAACCTGTCCCTCTTTCTCCTCCTCGCTCATTCTCCTCATCCGCCTCGCTCATCCTCCTCGTCCTCCTCGTCGTCCTCCTCGTCCTCCTCCCTCCGCCTTCGCTTCCTGCTCCTCCTCCTCCTCCTCCTCCTCCTCCTCCTCCTCCTCCTCCTCCTCTCTGCTTCCTCTGTTCCCTGTCGTCCTCTGGTCCTCCCCCAGGGCGCGGAGGGGCGCCCTCGCTGGAACTACAGCTGGAACTCCCCGCGGGGCGTGATCCGCGTGAGTGGCGCGCCGACATCTGCGAGGGAGCGCACGGTGGCGCCCGCGCTGAAGCCAGCATTTGTACCGAAATTGTTGCCAGCCCCAACGTGGGCCCAACAACTCCGCCTGCAATTCTGGCGACGCCTCCCTGGGTCCTGACGATCGGTTTGCGGGTCTCTCCTATATCGGCGGCGGACTTGCCTTGTCCAACACCGACCTCAATGCCCCCCCGCCGCCGACCCCCGCCCCAGGCACCAGACTGGACCCTCCATACATCCCCGACGCGAGGCTCGCACTCGAGCAGAAAAACGGCAGATTCATGTGCGACAGGTGCGGAAAGGACCATCTGCGTTCCGCCGATGGCACCTGGATCGCCGACATCACGCGCCAGATGGTCGCTCAGAATAGGCCTCAGGCCTACATCAACGGCGCCAACATGGGGTGGCACTGCGACATCTGCTGGTTACGCCACCTGGAGGAACAGGGCCTCTCAACGCTGGCAGGAGCGACATTTGCCGACAGAGTCAAGGAGCATGAGCAGCAGAGGACGGGCGCCAACAACGACAAGGCGAGCGCCCTCCCTTCCCTGGGAGACCTTCCACTTGGCTTTGGATGCAGCCCCCTGGCGGACACGAGGACGTTAGCGGACCTCCTCATGGAGCCGACGGGCATGAAGATCCCCGAGCGGGCCAATACAACCATTCCCATCCTACGGATCCGGGACGAGCGCTTCGGCCTCAAAGCCGCGCAGACCCAGATCTACTCCGCGCGGTGCGACACATGCCCCCAGGGGGCCCCGCTCCTCGTCTGGGACACTGGCTCCCCGCCCCTGGGATGTTTCATATGGAAGCCGGCGGAAGGCATAGGCGTTCCCGAGCAAGCTGGACTGTCCCCCATCGACAAGCGGGCCCTGGCCTGGCGGGAGCGCAAATGGAACGCTACATGGTGCTGCCGACGCTGCCTGGTCCCCATATGGAACATAGGCCCGGCCACCCTGGATCACATCCTGGACCGAGACTTCAGATCTCTGTCTCCAGCCAAGCCTCCAGTCCTTCCCTCGCTCAGCAGCCAGATTGGAGTCGAAGCGCCTGTGGAAATTTCTGATTCTCTCCCATGGCTAGGCGTGGACGCCAAGGTGAGTAAGCAGTCCCCCTGGATCCAGCGCCGCGGGCAGTACTGGTGCAACGTCCGAGCAAACTCCTAGGTCTCTCGCCCAGCTTTTGGAGCTCTTGCCAGACCTGCCAGCACCACAGGGCCCGCTCCTGAGCAACAGGAGCGTCTATAATCCCACCCTATGCGCTGAGGATCCCAGCAGACCTGGCGCCGGTGGATTGTCCGCGCGGCGATCGCTGGTAACCTTCCTCCGCGACTTCCATCCTGGACTGGATTACACCTGGAGGCAGTTTTGTTTCGCCAATCGCGACAGAAGCGCCCCTGAGCCCAGGTGCGACGAGGCCTCCTTGCCCGACGAATTCCTGTCAGAGTTCCTCCGGACTGTATATGGTGACTACATCCCGGACAACTGTCTCCCTCCCAACCAGCGCTGGGAAGGCAAGCGCGCGGCCGCGGCGCGAGTCGTAGCACACCTGGCCAACGGCGAGAGACATAAGGAGCCCTGGAGGATTTGTGCGGCGACGCTGGCCCCGGCAAGTGGTCTCGTTCCCATCCGACATGAGGTGAGCACGCTGACGGGTTTCCTACTCAGCCTCAGTGCCGACGCCCTCGTTTCGCATCCATCACCTCCTTGGCTGAGCCCCCCCCCACCAGGCGTGTTGATCATGAGCGACGACAGACCAGACACCCCCATGGCTGCCGACGCAGACAAGTCCCAGGGCACGATGGACAACGACTCCCGTATGGGCCACCAGGACCCGCCCGACCACAACGGCAACGACGAGAGCGTGGAAGACGGGATCCCCCCTACAAAGGTGGAGTCTCCCGACTTCGGAGAAGGCGAGCCCCCTCCTCCTTTCACTTGCTCGGACTCGGCCTCGGAGGGCGATGATAATCGCCCAGGCGACGAGGCGCCTCAGCAAAGCCCATCGGCGGACAGCTCTGACTCCAGCCGCGAGGAGGCCCCGACCTCGGCCGGGGACGAAGCGCCCTACGCCGACCACAGTAGCGATCCAGCCCGGGGACCCGCGGGGGACGAGAGAGCCCGCGACCGAGGCGGCTCTCGGACCGAGCGCTCTCCCGCGCCCGCTCCACAGCTCCCTGGGCAGAGGCGCTATCACCCTTGCCATACTGGCACATCGGAGCAGGATGCACTCAACCTGTTGACCTGTCCGGAGGGGGGCGGCCCCACGAACAAAGTCTGGCTCGGCACGGTGGACCTGGAACGTCCCAACGAGACACCCGCCAGACGCATGGCCAGGCATCAGTCGGAGTTGGGCGCAGTCTTCTGCGCGCCGCGGACCGCGCACACGCAGCGATCTTGGCTCCCTGGATCCAGGGCGCCCAAATCCGACCCGAAATTGCACGCGGCCGCGTCCATCAATAAGTTTCTTGATGACTGGAAGGACTGCGGGTATGACGCCTACCAGATGAACGCGAGGCTGGGCCACGGCATTGGCTGGGACAGGCTACGAGCCGACTACCTGCGACACTCCCGTACCGACGGCAGGGGCAAAGGCAGCTGCCAACAGACCGGCTGGCGTGACCGCGCGACAAGCTCCTGGGACACCTGGGGCAGCCGGCAGGGCGAGTGGAGTGATGGATGGCGCGAAGATCGCTGGCAGACGGGCGGCAAACGCGGCGGAGGCCGCCCCGACGATCGGGACGATAGAGACGAAAAGATGCTCCGATGGAGGGACTGAGCTCGCTCCCCGCTCCCAGCGCCGCGCGCCACCACGACAACCTCACTACACACTGAGTGCGGCCCTCCGCCGCTTTCTTTCTCCCCAACTTCGGGGCAGCCCGACTGCCCCCCCCCCTGGACGGCACTCTTCCTACCTTTGGACCATGGTGTGCCGCTCAGTAATACCATCTGCACTTTGCGTGACAGTGCGCAGCCTGCAGACCCTAGGTGGCACCTGGCCCCGCTGCCCTTACTCTTACCTGTGGCCGCTGAACCCTAGCCGTAGGGCTCACGTTGTCCACTCTGACTGTGTTTCGCACCCTGGAGTTCCCTCTGGCGCAGCCTTGAGCCGCGCTGCGAGCCCCGTTCAAGTGCGGCTCTGCCGCCCTCCCCCCGACGCGCGCACCTCCTGCCTTTGGATTCAGGTGTGCGTATCGGTAATACCGCCCACTGCCACCCCAACTAGTGGACCTGTGGCCTCCGGCCTTACTGTAGATCTTTCACCCGCCAGGCGCGACCTGGCCCGCGTCTGTGGACCCTGGCGGCCCCGCCTGTCCATAGACTTACTCCCTGGACTTCTCAATCATTCAACGGCCTTCAGCCGTGACCCTGGAACGAAGTGACTCTGAGGGACGCGTTTTGGGTATGCGACGGTCCCGTCCCTCGGGTGCTACCCTACACGCTTATGGGTGGCGCTGAGACACTTTGGATGTGCACTATCGGCTACGTGTTCCTACCGTGTGGCTTCGTGCACGCTGCTGCGCCCTTACCAGTCGCTGGACCAGGGGCCTGACGCATCTCAGATGTGGAAGGTTCTCTCTGGCTACTCTGTTTCCACACCCTGGATGCGTGTTCTGACGTCGCGATGTTCTGTTCCGCCGTCAGTGTTCCCCGCTGGACTGTGTCACCAGTCAGTCTGTGCTACCCGTCAGACTCCCTGGATTGACGTCTTCGGGACCGTTCCTATTTGTTCGTCTCCGAACTGTTGGGAGCGCCTTGCGCGCCATTTTGGCTGCGCTCGGCTTCCTCGGTGCCTGTGTTCAGACTCCCTGGGTGTGCCGTTGCATGTTTCGTTCAGGGGCTGCCTGCAGACTCCCTGGATTGCACGCCTTGGCTCAGACGCCCTGGGTCGCTGCTGCCTGCCGCCTGACCGCGGCCCGCGCGTGCCCGCCCTTAGTCGCGGCCGCAGCCCGACCGCGACCGCCCGCCGCTGGCGCTTCCGCCTGCGGCTGTGAAAAAAATAGTACCAACCCATCCACAAACGATGCCCAGGAGAGTTGCCTTGATCAGGGGAGAGGAGGAACATGCAGTGGATGAAGAGTTGGGGAAACCGTCAAACTGAAGACTTGGATCATCCTTCGTAGACCCAGGAGCGAACGGAATGCGCCTTCGCGGACCTGCAACATGAACAATGGCGGGGGAGAAGGAGGATGTGGAGGAGGAGGAGGAGGAGGAGGAGGAGGAGGAGGAGGAGGAGGAGGAGGAGGAGGAGGAGGAGGAGGAGGAGGAGGAGGAGGAGGATGATGAGGAGGGAGGAGGAGGACGAGGGGAGGAGGAAAGGAGGAGGAGGAGGATGGGGAGGAGGAGGAGGAGGAGGAGGAGGAGGAGGAGGGGAGGAGGTGGAGGAGGGAGGAGGAGGAGGAGGAGGGGGGAGGAGGTGGAGGAGAGGAGGAGGAGGAGGAGGAGGAGAGAGGAGGAGGAGGAGGAGGAGGAGGAGGAGAGAGGAGTGAGGATGGAAAAGGGAGGAGGGAAACGGGAGGAAAAGACGGAGGAGGAGGAGGAAGAGGAGGAGGAGGAGGAGGAGGAGGAGGAGGAGGAGGAGGAGGAGGACAATGGCGAGCTTGGGGGCTTGTTGGGGCGTCTTGGGGGGCCTCTTGGCGGCTCCATACTATTTTCCCATAGTCCTGGGGCCGGGCAACGAGCCCGGGAGGCCGACACCGAGGCAAGACGCCTGCATACCAAAATGGGTTTTCAGGCCATAACTCGGGTCTCCGGCGGCCGATCGGGACGATCCAGGCATCCCCCGGACGCTCTCGGCGACGCGCAGCCGCTGAGAAATATCCCGAGGCTGGGAAACCTCTGGTGCCCTCCGACACCTCCCCAAGCTTCGATCGAGGATCGAGAACCTCTCTTAACCCACCCCCCTCCTCTCCTTCGGGCCCCCCGAGCCGAGTAACCCGGCCGAGGCGGCGCTGGCGGCGCCAGACGGCTCGCGCGGGCCAGAGGTGTCGAGGGATCAGTTCGGCGAGCTGATCTCGAGGCTGGAG